CCATGTGGGTGCTGGTTTATGTCCTGGCTGCTCCCCGCAGTAGAGGATGGCCCAAAGCTTTGGGACCCTACACCCCTGTGGAAGACCCAGAGGAAGCTCCAGGCTCCTGGCTTCAGATCAGCTCAGCTTCAGCCACTGTGGCTGCGTGGGGAGTAAACCAGTGAACAGAAGATCTTTCTGTCTCTCCTTCTCTCTGTAAATCTGCCTTTCCAATAAAAACAAATAAATATTCAAAAAGAAGAAAAGGGGCCTAAGCTCTCTCATGATGGACTCAACTCTTCCTTCTCACAAGAAGCCCCAGAGGCTGCTGCTGCCTGAGCAAAATGCAGGGCGAGGGATGCTCTGTCCCCACGGATCATCAGGGCACCTGGGAGGGCCAGCTCTGAGCTGTCCACACTGAGGTTTTGGGGTGTGTAAGGATGTGGTACAGATGGATCCTAGGACACCAGAACCCAGCTGCCCACTAACAGGCTCTCATAGGTCCACGCCCAACTCCTCCCCTATCTTCTTTTATTTATTTTTATTGGAAAGGCAGATTTACAGAGAAAAGGCGAGCCAGCGAGAAAGATCTTCTTTCCACTGCTTCACTCCCCACGTGGCCTCAATGGCCAAAGCCGAGCTGATCTGAAGTCAGGAGTTTCTTCCAGGTCTCTCACTCGGACACAGGGTCCCAAGCCTTTGGGCATCTTCCGCTGCTTTTCGAGGCCGTAAGTAGAGAGCTGGATGGGAAGTGGAGCAGCCAGGATGTGAACTGATGTCCAGGTGGGATCCTGGCGGATGCAAGGCGAGGATTTAGCCACTGAGCCAGGCCCTTAAAGAGGTACTTTCAGCCCCAAGTCTCTCCCTGCCCATTCCCAGGACGTCGCCTCTGGATCTCTTCGTCAAACACTGTGAAGCCTTTACACTACATGTTGTGACATGAAAAAGGCTTATTTTGCAAAAGTGGCTGGTCACAATATAAGCTGGTGGGCCCGGCGCATTCAAGGCAAGGACCTTAGCCATTACGTTATAGTGTAACAGCGTAGTGCGTCCCACCCCCCTTCCTCCATACCCCCAGGGGCAAGCGGAGGTGAGGTGGTTGGGCAGTCTGTCTTCTGCCAGGGGGTGTGGGCTTAACAGAACCCTGAGCTCCCTAACGGAGGACAAAGTCCCAGGAAGACCTAACCTATAGCCATTACGTTATAGCGTAATGGTTAAAGTCCTCGCCTTGAACGCGCCAGGATCCCATATGGGCGCCAGGTTCTAATCCTGGAAGCTCCACTTCCCATCCAGCTCCCTGCTTGTGGCCTGGGAAAGCAGTGGAGGACGGCCCAAAGCCTTGGGACCCTGCACCCGCATGGGAGACCTGGAGGAGGTTCCTGGCTCCCGGCTTCGGATTGGTTCAGCTCCAGCCTTTGCGGCCACTTGGGAAGTAAACCATAAAATGGAAGATCTTCCTCTTTCTCTCTCCTTCTCTCTGTACATCTGCCTTTCCTTTTTTTTTTTCAATAAAATAAATAAATCTTAAAACACACACACAAACACACACACACACACACACACACACACACACACACACACACACACACAATATAAGCTGGCGATAGGGACACCTGGCCACTAAACAGGAGCCTCCGTTTGATTCCGTAAGAGACATCTGGCCCGGGATTCCTTGCTGGGACTTTGTCCTGCATTGGGGAGCTCAGGGCTCTGTTATGCCTACACCCCCTGACAGCAGACAGACTGCCCAACCACCTCACTTCCACTTGCCCCTGGGGGGTATGGAGGAAAGCAGGTGGGACGCAGGTTTCAATGCTTTCCGTTTTGTTCTGGTGGTCCGCTGAGTGGGAAGGGGAGGGTCCCACTCCCTCCTGTCAAACCACATCAGCACTGTGGGAGGAGGCGCCCTGCTGACCTGGATGAACTGGCTGTCATGTCCCCCGTGTGCATCTGGACATGTTGGCCACTGCACAGGCATCAGCCACCGATGCATCCTCTCCAAGGTCAGACCACGCATCTTATAATTTTCCCTGTGGCCAGGATTTGAGTCCAGAAATCCAGTTGGGGAGTCCCACAAGAAACCTCGCCTCGGGTGACCTCAGACTTGACTCGTGTGTGTCAGTTCGTGTAATGTCACACTGACTTACCTGCACCAGCCAACACACACACACACACACTGTCCTACCGCATTGAAATTACAGAGCCTTATGGCCGTAGCACTGTGGCACCGTAGGTTAAGCTGCTGCCTGCTATGCTGGAATCCCATGCCAGAGCTGGAGTTTGGATCCCACAGCTCTGCTTCCCACCCAGTTTCCTATAAACACTCCAGGGAAATCAAGGGAACACAGCCCAAACCCTTGGGTCCCTGCCACCCACAGTGGAGGCCCAGATGAGGACCTGACTCTTGGTTTTGGCGTGGTCCAGCACAGGACATCTCAGCAATTCGGGAAGTGAATCAAATCAGCAGATGATTCTGTCTGCCTCCTTCTCTCTTTGAGACTCTGTCTTTCAAATAAATAAAACTAAACTTAATAAAAGACTGGATCTGGCGCAATGGCCTAGCGGCTAAAGTCCTCGCCTTATATGCGCCAGGATCCCATACAGTCACTGGTTCTAATCCCGGCAGCTCCACCTCCCATCCAGCTCCCTGCTTGTGGCCTGGGAAAGCAGTCGAGGATCATCCAAAGCTTTGTGCCCCTGCACCCATGTGGGAGACCTGGAGGAGGTTCCTGGCTCCTGGCTTCAGATTAACTCAGCGCAGTGCCGGCCATTGCACTCATTTGGGTAGTGAATCATCAGATGCAAGAACTTCCTCTCTGTCTCTCCTCCTCTTTATGTGTGTGTGTGTGTGTGTGTGTGTGTGTGTGTATCTGATTTTGCAATAAAAGTAAATAAATCTCTAAAAAAAATTTTTAAATTACAGGCGTTTTTAGCTGGGCACCTCTGTCCGTAATTAGACTTCTGCCCCTTGAGTCTTTGCAGACACACCCAGAAGATAATTTGTTCTACCCTTGTGAGTCATTCCCAACTGACACGCTTTTCCTATTTCTTATCTTTCTTAGGAAATCACCAATGGCTGGAAAACTCCCTGGAAATCTCATTACGGCAACAAAAGGAGGAAATATTACTACACACCATGAAGTTACTCTATTTTTTTCTTTCTTAATAATATTCATTTCACTTTTGATGGTGTTTATATACTTGAGAGTGAAGCATGCCCATGCGGACCACCGTCCAGGGCAGGGAGGGTTGAGGAATGGCAGAAAGTGGACGAAAAAATTGCGTGCAATCTCCTTTTTCTTCCTGTATCTGGGGAAAGTGGGGATGGAAGAAGAGAGGAGTGAAATGTGTCTGACTGCAATAAAGTGAAAAATCCACTTATTAAGAATCGATTGGGGACCCGGCGTGGTAGCATAGTGGCTAAAGTCCTCGCCTTGCACGTGCCAGGATCCCATATGGTCGCCAGTTCTAATCCCAGCGGTCCTGCTTCCCATCCATCCCTGCTTGTGGCCTGGGGAAGCAGTAGACGAGAGGCCAAAGTCTTGGACGCTGCACCCGCGGGGGAAACCCAGAAGTGTCTGACTCCTGGCTTCAGATCGGCTCAGCTCCAGCCCAGCCATCCCCAGCCACCTGGGGAGTGAAACAGATCTTTCTCTCTGTAGGTCTGCCTTTCCAAGAAAGAGAGAAAAGAAAAGAAAAGAAAAGAAAAGAAAAGAAAAGAAAAGAAAAGAAAAGAAAAGAAAAGAAAAGAAAAGAAAAGAAAAGAAAAGAAAAGAAAAGAAAAGAAAAGAAAAGAAAAGAAAAGAAAAAAGGAAAGCTGAGATGTTGGACAAGTGCTTTGGTTTGGTGGGTTAAGAGCGGCCAGCAACACAGGCGTCCCATGTCTGCGTTGATCAACTGCGGGCTACCCCGCTCTTTAACCCAGCTCCCTGCTAACGCACCTGGCAAAGCAGTGGAAAATGGTTCGGGTGCTTGAGCCCTTGTCACACACAGAGATCTGAAGGCAGCTCTAGGATTCTGGCTGCAAGCTGACTGACCCCCAGCTGTTGCAGCCACTTGGGGTGGCATCATTTGGGGAACAGATGAAAGATCGGATCTGTTTCTTTCTCTGCAATTCTGCCTTTCAAATACATAGATCGATCTCTTCCTTTTTTAGGACCTATTCATTTTCATTGGAAAGGCAGATTTACAGAGAGGAAAGACAGAAAGATTTGCCATCCGCTGGTTTACTCCTCAAATGACTGCAAGAGCCAGAGCCGAGTTAATCCGAAGCCAGGAGCCTGGTGCCTCCTCCAGGTCTCTTGCACAGGTGCAGGGTCCCAAGGCTTTGGGCCGTCCTTGACCGCTTTCCCAGGCCACAAGCAGGGAGCTGGATGGGAAACGGGGCTGCCAGGACACAAACCAGCACCCTTATGGGATCCTGGAGCGTGCAAAGCGAGGACTCTAGCCACTAGGCCACCGCACCGGGCCCAACTCTGGCCATGTTTGTGGGAGATTGGAGTGGGATTCCTGGTCTCCACTTTTCCTTGGCCCGACTCATTGCTGTATATGGGGCGTGAACAATTGGGCCGAAGAGTTGTCTGTCTTGGCCTTTCAAGTACATGAATAAACATTTTTTCAACACGGAAAGAAAAGATTCTTTATTTAAATGATGGGCTACGGATGTGCCTCCAGAGGAGCACACTTGGGCTGAATGCCCGTCTCGTGCTGCATCTGTGCTTGGGGCAAACAGCGCGTTGGTCGTGAATAAATCACGGGATGAAAGAAGGGGCGCTCTGCAGGCGACCCTCCCTCACGGACGCACCGCGATCCTCCAGCGGGCAGGGGGCGCTCGAGGCGGGGCCGCCCCTGCAGGCCTGTCCGCGCCATCTCGGCAGGCACGCGTTGCTAGGAAACGAGACGCCGCTGCGTTCTCTGTGGCTGAGGGCCCCACATTCCCGCGGGGAGAGGAGGACCTTTTCCTTCTCCGCGGACCGAGGCGGGCCGGAGCTTCGTGGCAGGAGCCGCTCCCCGGCTCGGCCATGCCTAAAAGAGGGAAAAAGTCCAAAGTGCCCCTGTCGGAAGAGGAGCAGCTGCTGCTGTATCAGCAGAAGTTGCTCGCGGAGGAAGAGATCGCCAAGAAGAAGGAGAGGCTGCTCAGCCAGTTCCTGAAGGTGACAGCACCCCCGGCAGTCGTTCCCACGGAGATTCCGCGGGCGGGAGGGCGGAGAGGCACGGAAGAGGAGGGCGAGCTGGCCGGGGCCGCGAGGGCCTCAGCAGGTGCCATCAGCCGCCTCCAGTTCTGGCGTTTTCCATGGAGTTGAGGCTCCCACCTGTCCCTCCTGAAAATGAGTTCCCTTCATACTCCAGGCAGGTCTCCTGCAGGTCTCCCGCAGGAGCCTGGGGTCCCCCAGCACCACAAGGCTGGAAGGAGCAGCCTTGACAGGAGCAGGTCTCCCGCAGGAGCCTGGGGCCCCCCAGCACCACAAGGCTGGTAGAGCAGCCTTGCGTGTGGCCCTGACCCGGGCGCCGGGTGGTCATCCCTTCCCGCAGGACAAGCTGGCCAAGGAGGAGCACAACAGCGCTCTCAATCTCAACAAGATCAACACGCAGTGGAGGACCGTCCTGCGGGAGGTCAAGACCCGAGAGCTGCACAGAGACATTGAAATCCTCAGCCAAACGTTCGAGCGTGTGCTGGACTGCAAAGACAGCGTCATCAAGGTGGACGCCCCGGGGGGAGCGGGGGATGGCTCTCAGCAGAATGCACTCATGAGGTGATGGACTCCTCAGGCTGAGGCCCTTGCAAGACGCGGCTATGGGCAGGAACAGTTCTCACTGAAATGAGGGGGTGACCGTTGGGCTGTCACCCATTCCGCTCGCTCACTCCCCTAAGGGTCCTTGGTCGGGTACTGCCTCACACCGGCCCTGCACACGATCGGAGCCGTGACACATTGATGGCCTCGCCCGGTGACGTGCGTTTAGTCTCACGCTTTCATTTCAGTGGCAGAAGGCTTAGTTCCAGAAAGGGGAGCTGACGTGCCCGCCCGAGGCATGGCCGATAGCGGACAGTCATCTGGCCTGGGGTTTCCTGACTCCGCTCCAGTGCTTCAGTCAACCAAACGGGCCTCGTCGACTTTGGTGGCCCTGGCTTAGCTGCCAGATCTCCGTGGGCAGAGCATCCAGCCAGCCAGCCCCAAGCTCATGGGAGTCCCCTCCCCCTGTCACCCCCCAGACTGATTTGTTTATTTAAAAAGCAGAGTAATGGGGAGAAGAGGAAGAAAACTTGGCTTTGCTGGTTAACTCCCCCAATTCCTGCAATAGCCATGGGCAGGCCAGGCCAGAGCTGGCAGCCAAGAACTGTGTGCAGATCTCCCATATGGGGAGCGGCAGAGACCCAAGGTACCCACTGTATCCCAGACACGTTAGCATCGAAAGCACAGGATCACCAGGACTGGAACTAGGGACTCCAGTCTAGGGTGCTGATGCTGCAGCCAGCCGCTTAACCCTCCCGGTTACAACGCCTGCCCCCCCAGCACGTTCTTGAGTTGTGAATTCCACCACATTTTTTTAGGGATTTTGCTCTACCCCCTCTTCCATTCTTGTTTTTTAAATCCCGTTAGAAACAAACAAGAAAAAAACCAATCCTTGGTGTTTTCCATCATGAATATAAAAAAATTCAAGGGCTCGGCACAGTAGCCTAGCGGCCAAATCCTTGCCTTACAGTACTGGGATTCCATGCGGACACCGGTTCTAATCCCAGCTGCTCCACTTCCCATCCAGCTCTTTGCCTGTGGCCTGAGAAAGCAATGTTCAGATGGTATTTCCCTCTGTCTCTCTGCCTCTCTTTCCAATAAATTTTTTTTAATTATTGGAAAGGTAGAATTAGCGAGAGAGGAAGAGATCTGTTCACAGCTTTAGGCCCCACCTGGTGCACAGCAGCTGGGGCTGGGCCAGGCAAATGCCAGGACGTTACCCTGCATTGTTGTTGTTGTTGTTGAATTTATTTATTTTTATTGGAAAGGCAGATTTACAGAGAGAAGGAGAGACAAAGAGAGAAAGATCTTCCATCCTCAGGTTCATTCCCCAAGTGGCCAGAATGGCAGGAACTGAATTAATCTGAAGCCAGGAACCAGGAGCTTCCTCCAGGTCTCCCATATGGGTGCAGGGTCCCAAGGCTTTGGGTCATCCTCAACTGCTTTCCCAGGCCACAAGCAGGGCGCTGGAAGGGAAGTGGAGCAGTTGGGATACAAACCGGCGCCCATATGGGATCCCAGCACTTGCAAAGCGAGGACTTTAATCACTGGGCTATCACACTGAACCCTACATACCCTGACTTTACATACTACTTAAATACACTGTGATTCAAAGTGTTTGAAATTTTTGAATTAAATGTATTATTATGGTACAAGAATTTTTTGAAATCCATAATACTTTGTTCATGATATGAATTTTTATTTTTTTAAAGATATATTTATTTTTTTAAGATTTATTTATTTATTGGAAAGTCAGATATACAGAGATGTGGAGAGACAGAGAGGAAGATCTTCCATCCGATGATTCACTCCCCAAGTGCGCGCAATGGGCCGATGCTATGCCGATCCGAAGCCAGGATCCAGGAACTTCTTCCAGGTCTCCCACACGGGTGCAGGGTCCCAAGGCTTTGTGCTGTCCTCAACTGCTTTCTCAGGCCACAAGCAGGGAGCTGGATGGGAAGCAGAGCTGCCAGGGTTAGAACCGGTGACCATATGGGATCCTGGCACGTGGAAGGCCAGGACTTTAACTACTACGCTATCGCACCGGGCCCAGTGAATGATTTCAATGTTCCTTATGGATGCTAATCCATTGATTGATATCTCTCAACTATTGCAGTCCCCATCCTTATGTGTGCTCAAACTGTGCCCTCCGCCTCCTTTTTTGGGCCAGGGGAAGTGTTCTGAGTATCTATAGTGACCCATCCCTAAACTATCAAGTTAAATCAACTTACTGTCATCTCCCATGGCTCAGGAAATTGCCAGCTCAGGGTGGGCTGTCCTTGCGACGTTGCACACTAGCAGTGTGCAGTCAAGCGTCAGTTGGAGATACAGCCATCTCAGGCCTACCTGGGGGCTGGCCAAGTCGCTGGCGGACGGGGAAGCACGTGCCGGGCCCGCTGGTGGTACTAGGGGGCCCCACCCCAGACCTCGTAGCACAACAGCTGGCTGCTGCCCAGGAATAGCCCAAGAGTCGGGGCATCCAAAGCGGACAGAAGTTGCTAATGCAGTGGAAGGCCATGGCTGGACCTCTGCTACCACATCCAGCTGGCCCACGGAGTCAGAGTCTGCTCGGATTCAAGGAGATGGACGAGGCTCCACGCTTGGATGGCGGCAGCAAGTCATGGGGCGGGGAGTGTCTCTGACTGTGTAAGCTCATTTTTGGAAGAGACAGACTGCCACCAAGAGCCCCTTCATGCTGGTGCCCGAGTCCTTCGCACAGATCCTGATTGGTCCTAGACTCTTCACTGTCACCGCAGTCTAGGTTCAGCTAATCCTAGCGTGCTGATCCTCTGCCCTGTGGCGCTGGCATCCCATAGGGAGTCCAGTCTGCTCCACTTCCGATCCAGCTCCCTGCTCGTGGCCTGAGGAAGCACCCTAGGATGCCCCGAGTCCTCAGGCCTTGCACCTACAGGGGAGACCCCAAAGAAGCTCTTTTCTCCCGGTTTCTGATTGGCCTGGCTCTGGCCACTGCAGTCATTTGGGGAGTGAACCAAACAGAGGAAAGATCTATCTCTCTGTCTCCTTCTTTTTGTAAATCTGCCTTTCTAATAAAGATAATTAAAAAAACAAGCAGCTGTTTCTCCAAGAACCTCCAGCTGCTTTAGTGGCAGCTGAGTCCCTGTACGTGCTGATCATCCATAGGATACCAGCTGGCTTCTTGCTGTCACTCTTGCTTTATGTTCCAGAATAGAGGAGCTGAGTTCCCAAAACCGAGGGATCATCCTTAAGATCTAAGGGGAAAGCTGAGATCTAAGATCTCAGCTGGCCAGTGAGCACATCTTTCTTTTCTCCCCCTCAATGCCACTGAGCCAGCCCAGTAACACTCTCCTTTCAGTCTCTGGCCAGGGACCTGTCAGAAGCGGAGGAGCAGTACGCCCACGCCCTGCGCAGCCACCTGCACAACATCGACCAGCTTCTGGCCCTGCAGAGGCGCCGGCTCAGCCTTCTCGAGGAAGGCTACGTCACGGAGCTGGAGACCCTGACCAAGGAGTTTGAGACAGAAAGGTAGGGAGGCCCGGGAGAGGCTGGGGGATGGAGTCCAGGAGAACACTCGGATGAGATGCCAGTTCCTTCTCAGCAGCTTAGGCTTAAGCCTGAGGTCTTAGCCACCCCTCACCTGCACCTGCCTTCTGGCCAAGAGCCCTCAGTGCCTACTTCCAGCTGCCAACGTCCTGCAGGTGACAGGCACAGGGTGCAGGCGGGGATCTTCTCATGGTACCCTTTCATACTTTCTGATATTTTTTTCTGTACCATATAAATATATTATTGCCTATTCAGAAACTGTAGTCAGAACATCTTTGTTGCTCGTTCTCCCTCCTCCATCGGCTTTGAAGAGCTTCCCCCGTCCATGCAGTGTCATTGCACACTGGGTGAGCTCTCTCCAGGGGTCCACGTCCTCATCCCCCTCACGGCCTCTGGTGTGTCCTACAGGAAGACGATTCTCGAACAGCACGAGAAAGAGATGCACTACCTGCAGGATGTCTTCATGGCCATGGAGCAGAACTACATCGACTCCGAGTACGAGAGCAAGCTGGAGTTCCAGAGCATGTGGGATGACCTCAAGAACAAGGTGAGAGGCAGAGCGGCTGGAAGAGGACCAGAGACAGGTGGGGGAGTGGCCACAGGGGATCTGCACCGGCAACCCCTGCTAGGGGTCCGTGACCACGCCGGGCAAGCCCCGCTGCCTTCTATGAAAACCTGCTCAGGAAGGGAGGCCAGTGTAGAAAGTCCCCCAGCTGTATCCCTGCGATTGGCAGATGAAGGCATTAAGAGCAGAGGAGGTGAGACGCCCTGCCAGCATCCTTCCAGGGGAGGCAGAGGAACTGGAAGTCAGCCATTTCTTTTCATTTTACCCCACAGCATTATTGTTTTTCCTCAAAGATTTCCTTCTTTTTATTTGAAAGGCAGATTTGCAGAGAGAAGGATAATAATAATAATAATATAACCAGGGTTGGGCCAGGTGGAATCCAGGAGCTTCTTCTGGGTCTCTCACATGGATGCAGGTCCTAAGACTTTGGGCCGTCCTCCATTGCTTTCCCAGGTTGAATGGGAAGTGGAACAGCCAGGACACAAACCTGCGCCCCTGTGGGATCCCTTCGTCTGCAGGGCAAGGGTTTAGCCAATAAACCAGCTTTGGATCAGCCTTGGCCATTTCAGTCATTTGGGGTGTGACCTGGTAGATGCAAGATCTCTTTCTCTCTCTGTGTTTCTCTTTCTATGTGTGTGTGTGTAACTAGATATTTTACATTCAAGTTTAAAGTGTCAACTTTCCCTCAAGAGTGTGGTGGCAGATAGCTGGGGGCAGCGTCTGTGCCGAGTCCCCCTCTGCGCAGCAGGTGCTGCCCAGCTTGCCACAGGCCCCATCCAGCCCACGACACATATTCACATCATCTGCCTGGCCTTTGCAAGCATTCTCATTGATCTCTGCCCTACACTGGGCCACAGACGGACAGACCCAGAGGGTGTGCTGGCAGGAGCAAGAGATGGGGCAGCCCTGAGCCTCACCTCCCTGGGCACCTCCCTGAACCATACCTCCCTGGGCAGCCCTGAGCCTCACCTCCCTGGGCAGCCCTGAGCCTCACCTCCCTGGGCAGCCCTGAGCCTCACCTCCCTGGGCAGCCTGAGCCTCACCTCCCTGGGCAAGCCTGAGCCTCACCACCTTGGGCAGCCCTGAGCTTCACCTCCCTGGGGCAGCCCTGAGCCTCACCTCCCTGGGCAGCCTGAGCCTCACCTCCCTGGGTAAGCCTGAGCCTCACCTCCCTGGGCAGCCTGAGCCTCACCTCCCTGGGCAAGCCTGAGCCTCACCTCCCTGGGCAAGCCTGAGCCTCACCTCCCTGGGCAGCCTGAGCCTCACCTCCCTGGGCAAGCCTGAGCCTCACCTCCCTGGGCAGCCCTGAGCTTCACCTCCCTGGGGCAGCCCTGAGCCTCACCTCCCTGGGCAGCCCTGAGCCTCACCTCCCTGGGCAGCCTGAGCCTCACCTCCCTGGGCAAGCCTGAGCTTCACCTCCCTGGGCAGCCTTGAGCTTCACCTCCCTGGGGCAGCCCTGAGCCTCACCTCCCTGGGGTTTACTTCCTAGAATTTGGAAGAGAAGCACTTTCTGAGACTGCAGCTGGAGAACATAGTGGAAGACCTGTGGAAAAGGTTCCAGGAGGCGCTCAAGAGCTACGCAGACGCCACGGAGGACCGCAAGATCGCCTTCGAGACCCTGAAGGTGAAGGACGAGAAGAGCTCTAAAGAGATTGAGGCACAGATGAAAAAGATACAGAAACTGCAGGTCAGTGTGCCACCCGACGTGTCCCTGCGATCACTGCCCTCTCAGCCCCAGTTCTCTCATTTCTGAACACAGTGGTCAGCGCTGAGCCAGGACTGGGACAAGCCAGTGAGGAGCCAGGAACTCCATCTGGGCCTCCCATGTGGGTGGCGGGGACCCAAGCTCTTGGGCCATCTTCTGCTCTCAGGTGCATTAGAGGAGAGTTGGAGCAGAAGGAAGGCAGTCAGGCATCAAACCAGGGCTCAGACTGGATGCCAGTTTCACAGGTGGTGGCTTAAGCCACTGTGCCACTATGCCAGCCTACCTGCATTCCCTTTTCTTCTGCCAGTTGCCACTGCGTCTCGTCACTGATCACCAGCTGGGCTAAGATGCCAGTCCTCTGCTGGCAGCACCACCATCCCGTATTAACACTGGTTTGAGTTTCAGCTGCCCCACTTGTGAACCAGTTCCCTGATAATGGCCTGGGAAGGCAGCAGCCGATGGCCCCAGGTCCCTAAGCCCACATGAGGAGACCCAGAGAAAGCTCCTGGCTGCTGGCTCCAGACTGGCGCAGCTCCAGCCATGGTGGCCATTTGGAGAGCGAACCAATAGATGGAGAAACTCTATCTCCATAGTTTAGCCTTTCAAATAAAAATAGTCTTAAAAAGAAAATGGCAGCCTCAGATTCAGTCCCCGGGTTTCCCTTGTGCCTTGTCTCACTGCAGACCTTGAGCTGGTCACGCGCTTTTTCTCCCGTTCCTGCAGGAGGCCATCAGTATTTTAAAAGGGAAGATCCTCCTGCACAGCCGGGAGAGTGAGGATCAGAACCAGTACATCCGGAGTGATAAGGAACTGGTCCTCGTCCAGCTGCGGAAACTCAAGGCCCAGAAGACGCGGGCCAGGGAGATCGCCCAGGAGAACTTAGTCAAACTCACCCTGGAAAGCAGTGCCACCCTCAAAGCCCTGAGAAAGATTGTGGAGAAGGTAATGAGAGAGGTGTGTGTGTGTGCACGCGTGTGTGGGTAGGGGGACAGTCGGAACAAAACCAGGAACCTCGTTTCCCACAGGGGCTGTCTCTTGCCCTAACTCAGTTTTTCAAATAAATACATTTTTTACATATTAGGTTCTAGATTTTAGTTATTTGAAAGGCAGATACAAAAAGCCAGAGAGAGAGAGAGAGAGACCTTTCATCACTGGTTCACCCTCCGCCTGGCTGTGACCATCGGAGTTGTGCCAGGCCCCAGGCGGAAGCCTAGAACTCCATCCAGGTCGGCCACGTGGATGACAGAGACCCAAGTACGTAGGCCATCTTCCACTGCTTTCTCAGGAGCTTAATCAGCAAGGAGGTGGGTCAGATATGGACCAGCTGGGACTTGAACCAGTGTCTGTGTGGGTTGCTGGTGTATGCTGGTGTATGCAGGGAACAGCTTAACATGCTTTGCCACGATGTCAGCGCCCCTGAAACACCTTCTTATTCCGCTCTTACAGTTTAAAGTGGTTAGTCATGTGTCCACTTTATGGGCTGTCAGACTGCATGGTAGTAAGGCCTAGCAGGAGATGTTGAGTGGGATGCGCCCATGGGTTTAAGCAGGAGCGCTGCCTCCATCTTGTTTGTCCTTTTTTTTTTTAGATTTTTTTTTTTTTTAATTACAAAGTCAGATATACAGAGAGGAGGAGAGATAGGAGGTGAAGATGCTGGGATTAGAACCGGCAACCATATGGGATCCTGGCGCGTTCAAGGTGAGGACCTTAGCCACTAGGCCACGCCGCCGGGCCCTCCATCTTCTTTCCTAACAGAAAGTCCCTCCTGGCTTCCCCTAGGGTGAAAAGATCCTTAAACTTGCCGAAATATGTAGGAAATTTGAAACAGAAGAGGAGAAGGTGCTGCCCTTTTACTCATCCATGCTGACCCGCGAGGAGCAGCAGGAGATCGAGGAGCAGAGCCAGGAGGAGCTGACCGAAGCGCTGGCAGAGGTGAGGGCAGGCGCAAGGGGGTGGGGGGCCCTGGGCAGAGCCCAGTGGGCACAGCTTGCCACACAGCCTGGCCCCGGGCCTCACCTCCCAGGTAATGGCAGACTACGTGGGGATGGAGAACTTCTGGAAAAGGTACAACAAAGTGAAACTGGAGAAGCTGAGCCTGCAACACAGACGGGCCCAGCTGCTGGAGATCAACAGGAAGCTGCGGGAGATGCTGAAGCAGTACTTGGACGGAATCTCGGTGAGCGACGAGGTGCTGAGCCAGCTCAACCCGCTCTTCATCGTCAACCACCAGAGCAACCTGCCCCAGCCCCACGACACACAGCCTCCAGTCACCTACAATGTCATCGAGGCAGCCCATGTGATTGCCCACACCCTGGGAGCCAAGAAGGGCTCCTCCTCCCAACCTCCGGAAGTGTGTGTGCCCGGGGGTGGTTCCGGGACATGAGGACTTGGCTATTAAAAATGTCCATATTCGTGAGCCTTTCTGTCTGTGCCATGTCAGAGAAGCCCACCTGGAGGGCACTGGGCAAAACTGTGGTGTCAGGGGAGGAGAAAAGGGCCGGGCAGGCACAGGAGGCTCCCCGTGCCATGAGGCCAAGCAGGCACCCAGGGGAGCCAAAATCTGCTCCTGAGGGACCCGGAGAGCCTAGGGGAAGATTCGAGGGCAGGTCCTGGAGGGTAAATTAGCACAGCCACAGAGGCCAGGAAGCAAGGTGGTCCACGCCCTCCATCGGCCCGCACGCAGGCTGCCGCCTCCTCTGCCTTGTGCTCCACTTCCACTTAGCAAAGCAGCTGCACAAAGTCGCGTTGAGGAATGCCAAGACGTTGTACTTTGGATTCAACACCGTTTATTTCTTTTTGCTCTTATTCCGTCTCTCCTCCTTGAGCTTCTTTTTGGAGATTTTGGGTGTGTTGGCCTTTCTGTACAGGTGAAACCCAATGAGGCCCAGAAGGGCCGGCACCATTGCCATGCCTACCAGCGGCAAAACGCCCTTCACCAGCTTCTGCCAGTAGCTGGCTCGGATCAGGGCAATCAGCTCCACATCATACTGTACCACGGCGTCAGCTGCAGAGGCAGAGGGCAGGGAGGGGAGGTTAGAGGCATGGCACAGCCGCCTCCGGGCCCAGAATGAAGGAAACCAGGAAGGGCGGGCCACAACACAGCTAACCCTGACGCTGGTGAGGTGGACGGGCAGGGCAGGGAGCCCGGTGACCTGCTGACCCGGGCAGGCTCATAAACTATGAAACGCACACGCTCTTGCCCCTTTGTCCACGGCAGCCTGCTTCCAAGCGTGGCCTGACTGGATTCACACTGGTTGTATTTTTCAGTTCCACCCGAGCTGTGAGTACACTCAGTCAGTGCAATTATCAGAAAATCGGGATTCTCCCAAGAGCTAGCAAGGGAAAAAGGAAGGGCATGGCTTGAGAAGGCCAGGGGCTGGGGGAACAGGATTGCACTGGAGAAGGGCAGCTTGCCACACCACACCGAGGGCAAGCACCCGGGGAGTCGGTGCAGGACAGCTGTCCCAAGGATATTTGGTCGAGCCAAAAGCAAAAGGTGATACAGGTGGTGTGTGCTCTTTAAAGTTATGGGATGCACTTGGTTTTCAAACGCTGCCTTTTGCTTACTTAGTTTTGAACGACTTCCACGAGGAGGGACTCGGGCAGGTGTATTTTCCCTACGAAGTTGCTGGCTACCAGAGTTGCCAAGCCAGGCGCTCCCAACAGACGGCACCTGTACAGTCTGTCGGTACCATGGGAAGAAACTGACCCTGCAAGCGTGTGAACCACTCCTAGCTCCCCTCCCCCGCCTCCAGAGCAAATGTGGCCTGGCCAAGTGCGTGGCTCCTCTGGCTCTCAGAGATGAGGCATGGTGACGGCCCAAGACAGATCCTACCCAGTTACCTGGGATAGACGGCGGAAACCCCCGCTTCCCGTAGGCCAGGTGGGAAGGAATGATGGCTCTCCGCTTCTCTCTGGGGAAGTCACAACCAAGGCTGGGGGCTGGGCAGACTCATCTGCAGCTCCCCCAGCGTGCTCACAAATATGCCCCCTCAAACACACCGCGCAGCAGGCTGACCTGCACAGCTGCCCACCTTCCCACAAAAGCATCACTCCAACAAACCCTCAGCCGGACCCAGATACCCTCAGGGGGTCTCACTGGTCTGGACCTGCCCACTACAAAGCCCGGAGCCTCTCTCCCACCTTTTCCTGCCTCCTCGGGGAGCAGGCACGTCGGCAAAAGCCTGTGCCCACGCTGGCCTGGGTACTCACCCCACACACATGTCTAGAAGGCTTTGCTCCAGACCTGAGGAGAGAGAGACGTGACTGAGCGGGGGAGGGGCTGAGCCACAGGCCCCAAACCCACTCGACCCTGAGCTTTCCCTCGCCTCCCACATCTCTGGCTTCCACTGAGGAATGGGGCAAGCGGGAGAGGTGGAGTTTGCTTTGAGCTGTGGTACCCTTGTTGGGGATACCAGGTTTAAGTCCCACTCCAGCTGCCCACACATGCTCCTGGGTGGCAGGGTGTCCTGCCAGCGCCCTGGGCTCCTGGCTTCTTCCGGCCCAGCTCTGGCTATCACAAGCCAACAAAGTGTGTGTGTGTGTGTGTGTGTGTGTGTGCGTGTGTGTGCATGACTCTTGCCTTTCAGCCATTCGATAGAGTGACAGCTCCTTTACCTGCTGGCTCACTTCCCAAAGGCGTGCAACAACCAGGGCTCGGCCAGGCTGAAGCCACAGGCCCAGAAACCCATTCCAGTCCTCCCATATGGACCACAGGGGCCAAAGCACTTGAGCCATCACCCATCCACTGCCTCCAGGTGCAGTCATGGGCAGATGGCTCAGAGATGGATCATCCAAGACTGGCACAGAGAACCGTGCCATGCATGGGACAAGGACATCCAACCCCTGCGCCACATGGCCACTCCACCGTGCCTTTCAAGTCTGAGCCTACAGGAGGTGCCTGGGGCCTCACTCCCCCGGGGGCACATCCCCCAGAGGGGCTGCAGGGGGCTAGGGAAGGCTTAAGACGGAAGAGGCACAGATCACTTACCTGGGATCACCTGCTTCTGGCCGAGTTCTATAATCAGAGGGTCTCTGGACAGGGAGCTGTCGATAATGCGTCCATCTACCAAGCTGCCCTGAGGGTGGGAGGGGGTGAGAGCATCAACACACCTGGTACGGCTCCCTCCGGGGGTGGCCAGCACACACCTGGGCCCAGCACCTCGGAGCGGCTGTAGTTAGCATTCCCCTTGTTCTCCTCGGGGGCAGCAAGGAACAGGAAGCCCTCAAGGGCTGGCACTTCTAGGAGCTCTCTCCGCCCCGGGAGGCATGGGCGGAAAAGCAGCAGGGGAACAGGCAGAGCACCCCCTCCCCCGCCTCGCTGCCACGTGCTCAGCGACCCCAGAGCCCAAGTTTCTCCTCCGACCCTGTTTGCCACGTGTCCCAGCCAAGGCTGACGTGTTTCAGCGAGGCGCCGCCCCCTCCCAGGCTCCGCCCCAGACCCCTCACCGTGTAGTGTATGTGAAGCGTGTCTCCGAGGGCGGCGGGCTCCACGCACGGCTCGGGGGGCTCCACCTGCGAACAGATGCGCCTCCAAGGATCCCGTTCTCGCCCCTGGACCCAGTGGCCCCTAACGCAGCTCTCGTCCTCCTTTCCCAAGTCCCTGGAAGCCCCTCTCCCTTTGCTTCCCACCACCACCACCGGCTCGGCCCTTGAGGCACAGGGGCCGGGACCCGGGGCCATCGCCTCCTCACCAGGGTCTCCACTTGCAGGGTCTGGACAGGACTTTCGGTTTCGAAGCCAGCCTCCGTCCGGCATACCGCCCCTCGGAGCAGCAGCAGCAGCAGCAGTTGGAGCGGGAGGAGCGACAGGCACAGGGACATGACTGGACTCGCGGCAGGACGCCGGGAAGCGCTGCGGAGGCAGTGGCGACAGGGACCGCGTTCCCCGGGCGCCCAGGCCGGACGGGACGGGGCGGCCGTGTAGCGCAGCTCCTCCTCCGGCTCCTCCTCCGGCAGCCCCTCCTCCAGCTCGTCCCCACCTCCCGGAGCGGCGGGAGGGGTTGGCGCTCCTTCGGACCAGTCCGTTAGCCGTTCGGTGCCAAGGTGAGGGGTGGGGCCGACCCTAGAGCCATTCGTGGTCGCCCACGGAGCCCCAGGCGCTGCTCCCCAGCCCTCGCAGGGACGCATACATTGTTTCCACTGTACAGTTCAGAAGCCGGTGTTCAGGGTAAGGAACTTCCCCAGACCTGGGATTCATTCAGTCTGAAGCCCTGATGTGCTGTCCGCGCTTTTCCTGCCCACCCACCCCACACCCAGTAAAGATGCCATCCCTCGCCCTCCGCCACCTCTTCAGCATGGGTTTTGTAAAGTGTTAGCCAGAAGAAGGAACACAGCTGTTCCAGGCCCATCTTTAGAGAGCTCTCTGACAAGGGCCAGGCTCTTTTCTTGTGAAGAAGGGTGAATGCCTTTCACCAACAAACGGACATGTTTGTGCAAGGAAATCAGTTTTAAAATATTTAAAGATTTTTATTTGAAAAGCAGAGCCGCAGAGAGGAGACACAGAGATCTTCCATCTGCTGGTTCACTCCCCAGATGGCCGCAACAGCCAGAGCTGAGTTGATCAGAAGCCAGCAGCTTCTTCCAGGTCTCCCATGTGGGTTCAGGGACTCAAAGCTTTGGGCTATCCTCAACTGCTCTCCCAGGCCACAAGCACAGAGCTGGATGGGAAGTGGAGCAGCCGAGACCCACACTGGTTAGTGCCCATATGGGATGCAGGTACTGCATGTGGAAGATGCCCAGGCCCAAGGTCTTTAGTTTTTATATTTGAAAAATTCTCTTTGATTCTTCTCTCGTCTTCCACAACCTCCCAATCTGTAACTTCTGGAGACTGCTCTCCAGCTCTTTTCCATTCCCACATTGACCACAGCAATGAAGCCTTCTCTCCTTCAGTCGGGGGGAGTCCTGGGGGTGATGGGATGCTTTCTTGAGAAGGACATGAGTTCATGAATTATCTGTTCGCACCTACCAAGCTGTATGTGCAATAGCTGTACATCTCTGTGCAGATTATAATCTCAAAGAAATACACGCATGTGGCCGGCGTGGTGGCATAGCAGCCCATCTGCAGCGTTGATACCCTGCATGGGCTGATTCATGTCCCTGCTGCTCCACTTCCTGTTCCAGCACTCTGTTTACGGCCTCGGAAAGTAGCAGAGGATGGTCCCAGCCCTTGGTACTCTGCACCCATGTGGGAAATCCAGAAAAAAGCTCCTGGCTCCCAACTTCACATCAATTCAGCTGTGGCCATTGCAGCCATTTGGTGATGTCTGTCTCTTCTTCTCTAACTCTGATTTTCAAGTTAAATAAGTAAATATTATTTTTAAATACATGCACATACACACACACACACACACACACACACACACACACACACACACACCAAGCTACATTTCCAAGTCTCCCTTAAAGCCTGACAAGGCCATCTGACTCCGCCCTCGGCGATGAGCCGTGCATGGGTTAGAAGCATGGTGTTGGATCTCCAGGAGGGCATCGCTGTGTGGTCTGCCCTGGGATGCAGACACGATGAGTTGGACTCCAGTACCTGGAGAACACAGGCTGGGGACAAGGATGTGAGCCTGAAAGCAGCCTGGTGGACAGCATACCGAAGCACCTTTTAACTGAGACAGAAATCAATTTTTTAAAAAATTTTAACAAATTAAGTTGCTTTGCCAGGTCTAGGAGTGAACCAGGCTGAATTCAGCTGTAGCACCCATTGGTGAGAGCCCACATGGTACAGGTCAGTCAAACTAGGCCCCACTCCCCACCCATGAGTGCAAGGAGTAGGGGCTGGGCATGACAGCCTGGGCAGCAGTGCCTGACAGCACATGCAGGATCTGGGGCTTGGAGCAGACCTGGTACCAGGCACAGCTCCCACTGGTGAGTATGAGCTCCAGGGCTGGGAGCAGATTAAACCAGGCTGGGCTACAGCACCCATTGGCATATGTGTGATTTGGGTCTGAGGGCGGGCCAGGCAGGGTCAGTTCACAGCAAGTATTGGTACAAGTGAGAGCCAGGACAAGGTGCACGCCAGGCTCGGTTGGACCACAACATCTGCCAGTTCACCTGAGGTCTGGGGGGAGGGGTATGCTGGGGAAGGATGTTGCACCCACCAACAAGAGCTGGGACTGGGGGAAGGTCAGGCTAAGCTGGGCTGTAGCGCCTACTGACAAATGCCGAGACTGGGAGTAGGGCCATCTCAGACTGGGCCACAGTACCTGCTGGCACACTCAAGACCCAGGGCTGGGAGTGATCCTGGTAGGAGAAATTTATGGGATTCCCTTGCAGGGTTGCTGCTTCTATTGATGAGCATACGAGCTGTGACTGAGGGCAGGCTGGTCTGGGAGCAAGCCAGGCTGTACTTAGGGTGCTGCACCCACTGGTGTGCATGAGAGCCAGGATGGCGTGAGGACTGGCTGAGCCAGACCACAGCAGCTGGCAACAAATGCTGAGACTGGGTGTGAATCACGTCAGGCTGGACTGCAGCACCCACCAACACACACGAGATCCAGAGCTGGAAGCATGCCTGTCAGGGAAACCATGAACATTCCCCTCATAGGCTGTACCTTACCACTGGTGAGCACGAGAACCAGGGCTAGGGATGGGCCAGATTGGACAAAGTGTTGGCATGCTTGAGGGCCAGGTTTAGGGACAGGTTGGGCTGAGCTAAACCAGAGCACCCATGGATGGCATGGAAGCTGGATGGACTATGGGCCAGGCTGGGTCGCAGCAGAGGCTGGCGATGTACAAGAACTAGGTCTGGGGGTGGGCCTGGTGAGGGTTAGTGGGGACTGCACTGACGAGGCCGTGGCACCCGCTGGTATGTGTGAGGGCCGGGTCTGTGGTGAGCTGGCTGGGCTGAGCCACAGCACCCGTCAGTTCATGTGAGATGTGGGGCTGAGGCAGAGCTGATCAAGCTGCATCAGCCAGTTATGTGTGTTGGCTAGAGCAAGTAACAGACCTCACCTGTTCCTGTACTGGCAGGCACACGTGAGTCAAGTCTGAGGTCACCCCAGGAAAGGTTTCTTGGGGGACTCCACAGATGGACACTGGACTCAAACCCTGGGATAGGGAGAATCACAGGACGTACAGTCTGACCTTGTAGTGGATGTATGGGGGCTGGGCCTCCTCAGTTGCTGAGACCCGTGCAGCAGTCAGCATGTCCACATGCACACAGGAGACATGATGAGCAGCTCATGTAGGCCAGCAGGGAACGTCAGCTGCCTCATCAGGGGATGGAAAGCAGAACCGGCCGGACAGTTCTCCTGACCACGCTTTGCAGCATGTCCCTGGCTCTGTGGATGCACTAAGGTGGACTAGCATCCAGTAGACCTTGGGTAGAGTTTCTCAACCCTGGAGCAGTGAAGCCAACAATGTCCCAGGGCCACTGAAACCACTCAGGCAGCACCCTCAGAACATTCTCCACATCAGGGTCTTCAAGGCGGCATCGAATGATTGTTCCCCATCCCCAGTTCTGATATAGTTCGACACCAAGCAGTGGCCCTCCATCCCTGTGGACTTAGGAGAAAAAAAAACCCCAAACATGTGTCTCATCCACCCTCCTCCACACCTGACCTCCCCATCACCCTAATCAGAGGCCTAATGGGCATGCATTCCTCAAACTATGTAAGCAATGTTAAAAATGAAGTTTTGGGCCCGGCGCGGTGGTGCAGGGGTTAAGGTCCTCACCTTGCACGCCCGGGATCCCATATGGGCGCCGGTTCTATCCCGGCAGCCCCGTTTCCCTTCCAGTTCCCTGCCTGTGGCCCAGGAAAGCAGACGAGGATGGCCCAAAGCTTTGGGACCCTGCACCTGCGTGGGACACCCGGAAGAGGCTCCTGGCTTCGGACCGGCATAGCATCAGCCGTTGCGCTCACTTGGGGAGTGAATCATCGGATGGAAGATCTTCCTCTCTGTCTCTCCTCTCTGTATATTCGCCTTTCCAATAAAAAATAATAAAAATAAATCTTTAAAAAAAAAATGAAGTTTTATTGGAAAACAAAAAAAAAAACCCTACTACTGGGCCCAGCATGGTAACCTAGTGGCTAAAGTCCTCGCCTTGCCCAGGATCCCATATGGGTGCTGGTTCGTGTCCAGGCGTCCCCACTTCCCATCCAGCTCCCTGCTTGTGGCCTGAGAAAGCAGTCAAGGACGGCCCAAAGCCTTGGGACCCTGCACCAGCATGGGAGACCCAGAGGAGACTCCTGGCTACTGACTTTGGATCAGCACAGCTCCAGCTGTTGTGGCTGCTTGGGGAGTGAATCATTGGAGGGAAGATCTTCCTCTCTGTATATCTATCTTTCCAATAAAAATTTAAAAATAAATCTTTAAAAAATAATAAATGAAGCTTTTAAAAAAAAATTAAAAGCCTGAGGCTTGGTGCAATGATTCAATTGGCAAATCCTCCACCTCCAAGTGCCAGCATCCCATATGGGCACTGGTTCGTGTCCCGGCTGCTCCACTTCCCATCCAGCTCCCTGCTTGTGGCCTGGGAAAGCAGTGGAGGACGGCCCAAAGCCTTGGGACCCTGTACCCGTGTAGGAGACCAGCATAAGCTCCTGGCTCCTGGTTTCAGATCGGCTAGGCTCCAACCGTTGCAGCCACTTAGAGGAGTGAACCAGCGAATCAAGGTCTTTCTCCCTCTCTCTGCAAATCTGTGTTTTTGATGAAAATAAATAAATCCTTACAAAAGAAAAAATTTAAAAAAAAAATAAAAAACCTACTATGGGCCCCCATTACCCAACAAATAAAATTCTGACTCCTCGTCATTCCCGCCCAGAGCTCTCAGCATGCAACCCTAACGTGCTTTCCTCGCCCTGATGCCACGCCACTGACCGCAGGCTTCTCATTTCCACAGCTTCATCACTGGCATGCTGACACACAAATGCCAACTAAACGAACTGACCCAAACCCTTCC